GAAAATTTTTCTCAGTGTAGTCATTCTCGCCACGTTGCACGTCCTTTCTCACCCCCCGATCCTCTCGCAGCGCTCACGGAGATTTCGCGATCTCTCGATCTCATGACGAGATTCGAAAGTGAGGAAATTTCCCAAACATTGGAATATATTTTCTTTTGGCAAAAATATCGATATGGAAATCATTATTTGTTGTAATCATTAGTTATACATGTTTATAAGTAACTTTTAAATTAAAAATCCCTATTAAAGAAAATTCCACTTAAAATTAGCTAAGTTACAAACTGTTGGTATATGGCGTTCTTGTAAAAAGAAATAGTTTTTAACCAGACTAAAGAATCTGAACAGAAAAAATCGTTAGAGAGTAATGTTCAAAAAGTGGAACACTGTATAAATTAATAGGGAAGTTGTTAGATAAAGCTAGCAGAAGTCTTATAATCTGTTTCTGTACTTAATTGTAATTATTGTCAGCGTACGTCTTCAAATATGTAATATTCAAGTCCTCTATAATATTTGCGTCTAATAATGTTTTCATATACCTTTTAACCGACGAGCGAGTTCCTTGGTGAACAATACGTTCGCTAACTTACTTTGCGCATACCCTTTGAAGGGAGTGTATGTTTTTTCCAAATTTAGATCCTCATGTATAGCGCCAACTGTATTATGATAATAGCTATTATTATCAACTATTTCTTTTTAGTGTTATGTATCATGGGAAAAAATTTACTGAGCAAATATGTAAATGTTATAGTAAATTTTGTTAGTTTTTTAATCAATACGATTTGTTAAGAAAATTGTATTTACTAAAATAGCTTTAAATTTGCTCTATAATTTCTTTTTTTCTGATTTTGTCTTTCGTATCAACATTTTATATCGGCGATATAATTTTGTTGTACTAGCAAAATGTATTTTTTACGGATAGAATATTTGTTTTGACAGAAAACATAAACAAAATCTGTCTTGTAAATTTTTTCTATTTTTCCAACAAAACAGTTCTTACTATAATATTGAAATATTTACATCATATATTAATAAAATTTATTTGTTCTCTAAAAAAATATGTAGTAACAATTTTATTGTGATAGTCAAATAAATTTTCTTCCATAATAGTGTCATGTTACTATATGTATAAGCATATACTATTTAATAATTTATATTTGTGCAAGTTAGAAATTTAACTAGAAAGTTATTAATTTTACGAACATGTGTGCATACAAGACGAAACATTCACTATTCTACAACCAAAATCGGAGGAGTGTATTTTTGGTAGCAGTAAAAGTGTAAGAAGGAAGTGACCGAGATGGTTTGTTTGCAGCTGCAAGTCGAATCCATCTTCAGTCTTTTCTTGCGGGCACATCATCACACCAGCGTTATTTATCAGCAGGTGAATAGCTGATTCATTTTTCACCAAGTTTTTAGCACATTTTTTTACACTTTTGAGGCTGCAGAGATCCAAATGATAAACCGCAAGTTCACCTGGATTACCTTGAAACTGTTTCCTGTTTGCTCTGAAAATTATCATGTTATTACATATGTGACTGATTTTTCTCATAATTGTTAATTGTGTTTCGTTTTTATACAATTTCTGAATATGTAAATTGCGTAAAATCGAGATACGACTTTGAATAAGAAATCAGTCATGTATATGTATATTGTGTGAGTAAATAATACAATTATATAAATCTGTGTGAATTACATGAAAATGTGTAGATATTAACTTTATATATATTCATATCTCAGAAAAAACCGTTATACAATACATATACTCCTAATTGTAATGCTTGACCAAAATTATCTGTTCGCACAAATCTTAAATATAATGCTATGTTAAACCTATTTCTTTCTCATTTATTTTATTTCTAAGGACCTCACCCCCTTCGTTCCCCTTTGAGAGTGCACAAGGTCCGTCCCAGGGTAATAGGGATTAATTTCCTTGACCTAAAATTAGGACCTGCGATCGCACCGCTCTTAGAAAGAGTCATGAGAGTGTCCTCACGGACATTGGCCTTTTTAGAGCCTTTGAAAAGTGCGTTTGGCTCGCTTCCACGCGCCTCCGAGCGTGTTATTTTTAGCGAGACATTTAAACTTGCTAGTTGCGTCGTTCCACCTCCACATTCCAAGGTTATTCCGGTTTTGACGTAACATGATGAAGCCCACGTTCCATGGGAACCGATCCATACGAACCGGATAGCGATACCGGAGCAGTACTCGCTCTTTTCTGTTCAAATCTTCGACCGTAGCACACGTGTAATATACACTCAGATATTCTCCTTTAAATAAGTGCAGTGTTCTAATTATTCCACTCCGACAATCGGTAGGACACAACAGTAGTGAATAAAACATGGAAAGGAAAGCACACAGAACAACGATACAAAGCTTTTACGCCGAACAGTCGATATTTATTACAGGTAATAAAATTCATAAAGTTCTAATGTGAAAACACAAATACAAAGTAATAAAGAAGTAAGAGCCGAGACAGAATGTTAGTGTCTAAATAATTTTTCATTTTTAAGTCTATTGCGAAAAATAATACCTCAGCCAGGGTTTGAACCTGGATCGCAGTAAACAGTCTGTGTTAAGATACATATAGACGCCCGTCTAATAAGAGGGAGGTCCAGGTTGAATTTAATCATTAAAAAAATTATTTAATCATTACTTATTCTTTCTCTGTGCTGTAAAAGTTATGTTACACACCGAAAAAAACTTCCATCAAATAATCCAATTAAATAGTTTTTCCGATAGTTAATTTTTAAGATTATGTTTTCCGATAAAATTATGGATATATCCGATTACATTTTGCTCAAAAAACTGATCGTATTTTTTATCCGATATACACATAAAATTTATAAGGTGGCTCCGACATAAACCGACCAAAAGTAAAAAAGTTACAATTTAAGTATATTGTAGTTGTAAATTTTATCTATCAGTACGCAAAATTTCAGACCCTATCGCTGATGAAATAAAATAAAGAAAAAATGTTCAAATTGTATTTTTGAACATTTCAGTAATGTTTGAACACCAAGTAACAGTTATATGTAGGG